TCGGGAACCCCTTGAGTTTTCAGGCCTTAGTGGGAGCGGACTTGGCGGCTTTGCGATCTGCGCACTTTCTGCTGCAGGTTTTGCGGTTTCGAGTTGCGGGACCGGCATTACCCAGCTTGGGCTTTCCGTCTCTGTGGTTTTAACGTTGAGGTGTTCAGACCAAGGTCAGAAACGTTTGCGCCCTGATTCAGGCTTTAGGACTTCCTTTTGTGGCTGCGGGCTTAAGCACACTTAGGGTACCAGGGCTCAAAGGCTGGCTTGGGCAGGCGATACCAGATATACAGGGCCGTGTTGGATGCCAGCATGTAGAGCTTGCAGGCTCTGCAGTTCACTCCTGTTTCATTCCTTGCCTCACAAGGAGTCTCACCTGGAGTTTCACTTGTGGTAGACAGGCTGCAGAGCAGCTGGCGAGTTGCTTTTCACAAGTTGACAATTCGACTGATCTTGCCAAAGACCAAATTTTGAGTGCTGCTCTGCCAGCAAAGCCGCAGTGTGGGCACCGGACGTCACATCGTTCGATCAGCGGTGGAAGCTGGCAACCGGTCTTGAGGCGACTGTGCAAGCTTTCGACGAGCGCTCCGCCTCGAGGTACGAGGGTAAACTTCAGCCAGGCAAGCTGTTCCTGCGGAAGGGTTTCTCGGAAAAAACACGCGGCAACGTCGCATTGTCGAGTTTAAGTTTAAGTCGAACATGTCTGGGAAAGTTCTCTTCCATCAAAATTGTTTTTTAAGGTCCTAAATGACGGTTCCGGCCGTGCGACAACTTCGAGCTCGTTATGAATAATTAGAACACACCTGCCGGCGACGTACTTCCACAGTCGGCAGGCTTTGTATCCTTAAATTCTTAAAGCCCTACCTTTCAACACTTAAGCACGAGAAAGTGCAGGCAAACGAGCCCGATATGCTCAAGATGCAATGTCATTGGACCTAATCCTGAAAACACAATGTTAGACCGGGCCCATTGATATCCAAACACCAAGAACCACACCCCCTACAACTCCAAAATGCCCGACACACCACAACCCTTGCGACAGCCGCGGATAAGTGGTGGCCTCCACAGCCACCTCGGTGGGAGCAGGCGTCAGGCGTGCCTGTGACGGAAGGCCAATGCTCATGTCAATGTGGCTTTGGATGGAAAATGCGAGTGGAATTTACTCCTGATGCTGGAGGGCATTATTTGTCTCAATATTCAATAGCTCTAGCTCCGGATTTAAGGTGCCCTTTTTTTGTTGGATGCCGAGTGCTGGGTCTTGGAATTCTCGCAAACATCGAATCACATCGCCTCATATCTCCTGACGAAAGAGCTGTTGCACGGTTTTTGCTTGTGCCTTCCTTCGCATGCAAGCAACAGGTCTACCTTGCTCGGCCTTCCAGGCCGTGATCGATGGAGACATCAGTTGACTGCCGCGCTTCTTGGCAAGCTCCTCCCCGAACCGGCTTTGAGACCCCGTTGACTTTCACGTCAGCGGTTTCGGTTCTTCCGTGCAGCCCACACCACTCGGCACAATCACCTAATCCTTAGCAGCCTGAGCCCTACACTGCAGACCTTGCTTGACTTAACCTTCAAGCCAAAAAGAGTCCTGCGCCAGAGCTCGCAGCCGATGCCTGTTCGTCGCCTCTCGAGGGGTTCGAGGGACGGAGGTTCAGCGAGGTTCTGCAGCAGTCTGCAACATGCGGAGACATGTGGGAGGGGCTGTCTGGAGAGGCCGTCGCTCGGACTTTGCCCCTTCTTGTCTCGAATCCCTAAACAGGCGCGAACTGGTCGAGGACTGCGAGAACGCTGGTCGAAAAGACGTTGCTCATTCCGCTGTTGTGAATCCTAAAAAAAGCAAGCTGTAAGCAATCTCGACAACGAAGTCTAAATCAACCTCAGCACCAAGACCAAACTTATCAAACCCCGATCGTTCCCTAATCCGTGGCATTTCCACGCCGCCTCAGACAGGAAAGACGCCACAAAGTCCGCGTTGCCTGAACACCCCGACTTGGAACACAGGAAAACCCCACTCCGACGATGTTGTGGGATCCAGGGTTTTGCAAGGGCCGCCTAAGGGCCTAGGGCTTCAGGGAAATTCAGGGAGCTGGCCTCCGGCAACTGTCAGTTAGGAGGCTTGAAGGCTCTCGTTCTGAAAGAGTTTGAGGTTGTGAGTGCTCCCCTTTCCCGACTCGCATCGACGCTCGGAACCTTCAGCCGAGAAAGCCTAAGAGCACCAAATGGGGGTTTGCGGGGTACTTTTTTGGGTCCTTGTACGGGGATCCTACTATTATTTGGGTCTATACAAGGGGTCCCTTTTTATCGTAAACCCCCAAATAACACAATGCCTGCAAACCTCCGCTGTATGAGAAGGAGCACAACTACCACAGGGTCCTTAACCCTCGTTCGTGCTTTGTAATCTAAGCGCCTTTTGGAGAGCGATGCAAACGACTTCCAACATGGAGGCATGGCGGGTTCTGCGATGTGGCGTGTCAATTTGTTTAGGGCCAGGCTTCTGCACGTCACAACGCTACCGGACATGCTGCGAATAAAAGCTGTTTCGAGTCGATCGTCGCAGCGGTGACGAAGGCGAGTGCTGTGCTTCCGGATGCTGGGTCTTAACAGGGGGTCATGGCTACGGTGTTGCCATCATGAGTTCAACCAAGCCGAAAAGACTCTGCGAAACTATGGGAAACACGTGACAGCAAATTACTTGGTAGCCCAAAACGAATATGAACCCAGACGAGGGAAAACAAACGAACTGGAAACGACCATTAATTTACATATGCGTATGATGGTTCTGATTATCACTGCTAGTGTCAGTGCCATCGCCCCTAACCCTAAACCTCCAAACCCTCCAAACCCTCCAAACCCTCCAAACCCTCCAAACCCTCCAAACCCTCCAAACCCTACAAACCCTACAAACCCTACGAACCCTCCAAACCCTGAAATGTTCGCCTGGTGCGACCTCAGGCTCTCCTGGCTCATCTCCTCCTTGGCTCTCTGCCACATGCTCCTGAGCCCAAGTTTCAAGCGCTCTTTGGGGGGCTCCGGAGTAGGGTGTAGGGTTTAGGGTCCCTAAACCCTAAACCCTAAACCCTAAGCCCTAAACCCTAGCCTAAAAACCCTAGGTTTAAGGTCTAGGTTGGGATTCGGATTTGGGGTGTGGGCTTTCAACCGGGGCTTCTAGTTGTGCATTGCACGTTTGGGCGACGCCTCCAGGACTGAAAAAAACAAAGCGCCCAAAACTGAGAAGCCTCAGCCCTAAACCCTAAACCCTAAACCCTAAACCCTAAACCCTAAACCCTAAACCCTAACCTCTAAACCCCAAACCCTAAACCCTAAACCGAAGATCTGAGCCCTGGCGCCTTCTTCAGCCGCAGAAGCTTCTCCTCAGCTGTGCTCAGAGGGATGCTTCGCGTTGCGGAAGTTTGGGCAACATTGGGCTCTTTAGGGTTTAGGGTTTAGGGTTTAGGGTTTAGGGTTCAGGGTGTCTGCGGCTTCGGCTTCAGAGAGGGTTTTGGGGTTCGGGGAAACTGCCAACGTCCAAGTGCCGCGAAACGAAGCGGTTTTGGGGGCAGGACCGAAGGAACAAAGAGACAGCGCAAGCAAAACCGAGAAACGCCGCGGGCCGTAAGTTTCCATGCTGTGGCAATGGCACCAGGACAGCTTGGAAAGCAAAAATTACAGATAGCGCAAAACATGAACAACAGAGGCCCGTTGAAGTTTGGAGACAAACTCGACTGAGTGACTGAGTCTAGACGTGATTCATCCCTTCCACCTAATTTTAAAGCCAACCCTCCCTTTTCCCGGAGAAGAAGCAACTTCCAGAAAAAAACCGAAGGGTTTCGGGCCCAGTAGCTCGGAGCTTCTCGACCTTCACCTTGGCCTCCGCCGGAGCCTCGGGTGCTTGGGGGAGTTCGAGGCTGCTTGTCCCCAAACAGTTTGTGCTACAGGGGTTCTCAGACGTTGCTCTAAAAAAGGGTTTCGTCCCCCAACCCCCTCTCTGCCCCGACCCCATGCCTTGCGCCTGAAAGCCGCCAAAAAAAAAACCTAAACCCTAAACCTTCAACCCTAAACCCTAAACCCTCAACCCTAAACCTTCAACCCTAACCCTAAACCCTAAACCCTAAACCCTAAACCCTATAGACCCCTTCTCCTAAGGAACCAGGCCTGGACGGCTGACAGGGCCGCCGGCATCCCAAGCCATGGAACGCGTTCTTGGCCCGCAGCTAACAGCTATAATAGACACGGTTTAGGGTTTAGGGTTTAGGGTTTAGGGTTTAGGGTTTAGGGTTTAGGGTTTAGGGTTTAGGGTTTAGGGTTTAGGGTTTAGGGTTTAGGGTTTAGGGAGGGTTTAGGGTTTAGTGTTTAGGATGCCGAATCGGGCAGCGCCCGCAGCGATCCTGAGGGACACATCTTGGGAGTCTATAGGGCTGAGGGCACGAGTGAACAAGGCTTTGGCTTTTTTTTCGGCCGTTGACAACTTCGGTTTGGGGTCCCAAAGTCCTTCGGGACATGAGGATAGTAGCGAAACATACAATAATGTGTTTTTGCACCTGGGCATCCACATTGCGCAGCACCAAACTACATGGCTAAGGGTTCAATGGGATCGCGATTTAAAGCATGGCAAGCTGAAGCTGTGAGCCAAATCCGGGGTTTCCGACACATTTCCTTGCATTGGCAGTCTGCAAGGACCGTACCGCAGGACCCCTGCACGAGCTCAATCTCTGAAGATCCATCGAGGAGTCGCCATGTGCATTTTAGAGATGGTGAAACGCTGCGGAAAGAACATGTTAGATGAGACGTTTGCAATTCGTGCCTTGATGGGGGGGGGGGATGTCATTCTTCCGGCGCCCGGGGGGGGGGGGGGGGGAAAGAGAGAGAGAGAGAGAGAGAGAGAGTCAACATCGGGCAACATGCCCATATGCGAGCCGCATTGAGCCGCAACCCGCAGCAAACAAACCTGCAACCTTAACACCTGGGATCATCACCCTTTAAGCCAGAGGCACTCTGAGTCTCATTTTACTTCAGGCGGATCCTTTCGTTGCTTGCCCTTGCTCCTGGCATCGTCCTATGGGCTACCTTAGGACCTTGGGGTTCAGGATTGTTGAAGCCCAACACTTTCCGTAAAATTATTCAAGCTTCGTTCTAACCTTCTTCGGCCGACGGGATAGTTCGCCAGTAGGGGCAGCCAGGCAGGGGGTGGGGCTCGGAACATGCAAGTTTCGAGTTGCATCATGCTACAATGCCTAACAACCCCCCAGCGCGGCCCTAAGCAGCACAACAATAGACGCATGGAACTATGCAGCTGCACTTTCTGTTCGCAGCTCTCCACGAAGCTCAAGCTCAAACTGCCCGACTGCTTCATCCCTCTCCCTGGCTCTCTGAACTCAGTTCAACCCTGGAAAGCCTCTGAAAACTCTGTGCCCCACAGCGGTCCTGTGGACTGGTTTCAGGCTCCGTTGCTGCGCCTGCAGACTCACAGAATTCGGGTTGTATGTTTCTTAAATCGGTCTCGGTGGGCCCTGGGAACGACGGTACATGATGGGCATTGGATGGCATTGGTACATATTGAATGGCTCTCGGCTCTTTACTCCAAGGAATCTCTCAGACGCAATGTACCTCAGAAGCACACACACATATGCAAGACACCACCCTTGCACCGTGTCGGGCATTCCAGAGAAGAGCATTGCAACGTTCGACAGGTCATCCAGGATCTTGTTTTGAGGCCTATATGGGGTTTCCGAAAATAGGGGTACCCTTTTTGGGGCATCCCTTTAAGGAGATTCTATTCTATTTGGGGTTTCGAAGGGGTACCCTTTTTTTGGGGGGGGGGATATGCCCATATGTCGGTGTGCCAGACCGCACCTGCGCACTCCTCAGGCTCATGGCAGACCTCAGCGAGTCACGCGATTGGGATGGGTTTAGGGTTTAGGGTTTAGGGTTTAGGGTTTAGGGTTTAGGGTTTAGGGTTTAGGGTTTAGGGTTTAGGGTTTAGGGTTTAGGGTTTAGGGTTTAGGTGGTTCAGGTCGTTGCTGGTGGCTCATTTATTCAGATCTGGCTGTCGTGGCCGGAAGATTTGGGATCTTGCAGATTTGAGACCCACTTGGGGGACCGTCTCGTCTCCGCAGGTCAACACGGTGAACTAGATTTGTGTTGCAGGCCCAGAGCTTTTGCGGGCAGACATCCTGAATTCATCTCAATCTGAGGACGAAGAGTCTTCAAAACTCGTATCGAAGCTCAAGGCGTGTTCAACCTGGCCATCCTAAACCATCGAAACGGATTAGGCCCTTATCAAACTTTAAGCTTCTGCAGCCCCACTGCTCAGTACATCACCTCACCCCGCAGTCGGCAATCTGAACCCTGATAACCCTGAGACTGAGACGGCATCTGGACAGCCGTACTTCTTCTTCCAGGCGAGGAGCTCCGCCTGACATGAAAACAAGTTGAAACCATTTGAAACCAAGACCCTTTTGCGCTGCCGCATACGTATGCCTAAAGAGCCCCCATTCATTCTCATTGCCCCCGGCAACCAGACCAAGCACTCTGGACGCAACAACCGATGTCTATTCAATGACTATTGACATCTATTGAACCTATTGACTATTATTGTTTGTTCTGCGTCGCTCCTGCATCGGCCAGATGCAACGAAATTCGGGAGACACATTCGGACGTCAACATTGGAAAACGCAGGGATTCCTGAAATAACTTCAGGAAGCGTAGGCGGACATTCGGGCAAGGGCGGGAAACACATCAGTGCCACGAAGCATTCAGGAAACGCGAGGTGACAATTCAGGACACATTGCTACACCCTAAACTCTGAAATCCAAACCACGAGGCCACGACCTAACCTAGATCCGAAAACTTATGCACAACCCTACATGTTACTAAGCCGTTACTAAGCCTGAACCCCGAAGCCTAAACCGAGACCCTCCAAACAAAACCAAGATATACTAACGTGACAGGCGATGATGAAAGAAAACGCAGGCGACAGGGTCAAACAAAAACATTCCTTCACGGCCCCAGAACAGCATGCAAGAAGTCAGGAATGCTGTCGGAGACACCAATCGCAGAGACGGAACAAACAAACAAGCCAACCTAAACAAGCAAAGGCAAGTTGCAGCACACCACAACTTGGGATGTTCCCCCTTATACTAACAGTCCTGCATCGGCATTATGACAGGGGGGGTACTATAATCCCTATTAAGGACTGTTTGCATAAGGGCAGACATCCCAAAACCACAACACCTGAACCTGCGAGTGCGGCCTCCCAGTCCTCCTCATGGAAACGTGCCGCAATCGGCAGCCTTTGGCTAGCCTCAGAACGGCCCCCGCTTAGGGTCTGACATGGGACATGGTCTGTGAAGGCTACCAGGGCTACCAAGCCAGCACCGGTCAAACATGGAATGAAGCTTTCGAGTCCATGAGCCGGGGCTCATTCCTAGGGGATGGTGCTTGACGGCGTTCGATTTGGGATGTTCCCCCCTGAAACTCACAGTCCTTAGTAGGGATTAGAGTACCCACCAGTAAAATCCCTATTAAGGACTGTTAGTATATGGGGGAACATCCCAATGTTGGATTCTCCAGTCCACGTCGAAGTAACACCCCGAACTGCTGAGTGGGCAGCTGTTGGCGACTGAATCCGGGAGGGCGTGGTGGCGCCATCTCCCTGGCGCACTGGGCTTAGGGCTTAGGGCTTAGGGTTTAGGGCTGAGGGTTTAGGGTTAGGGCATACTTTTGGCCTCAAGACCGGGGGCGTGTGGCATGTCTTGTCCGGGCGGGACCCCACACCTCACATATTGCAATTGGCGCGACAGAGAAAATCACTGCAAAGGCCTATGAATTCCCAACCAAGCCTGGCACAGACTGTTTGTGGGCTCCGTTGCTTTCGCAATACTGGGGCCTTTTAAGAGAAAAGTGTTTTGAGCATTCAACACAATTTTCCCCAAATGCGCGAAGACATGTTGCTACTCGTACAAAAGTGGACTGTGCAGCGCGAAGCCTCCAACCACTCAGCATGGCGAGGGGTCAGAGGTACTGCACCTCACGAGATACAAATCGAGATACTGCTCTGACATGCTGTCTGGGTGTCTGGCAATTACGTGTGCCGTTGTTCCGGAGAGGCAAGCGCGCATGATCAAGCACGCATTGCTGCAAGTTCAGCTCGTTCCCGACCCGAAGAACGCGCACACCGCACGTGATTCCGAATGCATGTTTCTTGATCTAGTTCCGCCAGTCACAACCACAACGGCCGGTAGTTTACATTTGAAGGCCATGAACTCCTCAATCCTCAATCTCCCAAAAATCCGCCGACCCAAAAACAACTTTCCGCCAGCCCTCCAAAGCGCGGGAGGCGTCCGGCGCTTGGTGCGCACGTCTTCAACCAACCACACTCTTTCCAGAGGATGAAGTCTTGCATGCAGCCTGGCCTTGCCACATCCTCAAGTGCAAAACCCTTTGTCTGCAACCCTCGAAACATCTGGGCATTTCCCAACATAGGGGCACCCCTTTCTGACCCCATATAGAATAGAATCCCCTTAAAAGGAGCCCCAAAAATAAGGGCACCTCTCTTTTCGGAAAACCCCATATTAGCAGCCTGAGGGCCCATCTGGAACTGGCCTCGCCTCTGGACTCTCCACCTATGGCGGAAGCCTGGCAGGTGACGGTTTCAAACGATCCTTGAACACCCTGGAATCATTGGGAAGGTGGGCGAGGTGGACGGAGGGGGGGTGGGGGTATGATTTATGTTTTAAGAAACGGCCTTATCTCTGAGATTGTTGCTTGCACTGCTTGTTTCCCATGAAAATGAAGTTCGAACCATACGTTGCGGAACTGTGTTTGCCATGGTACATTTCAGGGGCTGAAGAAACGCTCCTGCTAACTATTTGTTGCGGAATTCAAAGCAGTTCACGTTTAAATCAGCATTCCGAGTCTATGCGGTTCTGTACTTTGGACAGGCCTGGCAAAAGAAAATTTGCGTAGAATCGTTGGGAAACGGGCGCTTTATGATTTACTTGTCGGCAGTGAGGATGGGTTGTTATCCCTGAGGAATTGCCTATTTCTGGGGCTGCTATCCGCTGGAAATACAACACGAAGGAAATCCATCAAAACTGTAAGAAGGGAGGGGGTTGGAAAGCATTCATTTGGTGCAAGTGTCAGGGAAATGGGATCGGACATTTGTTCACTCGCTTTCGGGGCCTTCCGAAGCGACCTCCCACATGCTTACCGAATATTCATCCGGTCGCATGATTGGGATGTTGTAAGCATATGCCCGACCTCCTTTCCTATAATTTAGCTTGTTCTTGCTGGGATGGGAGAATGTCTTTCTTTATTTCAGAAACACGGTGCAGGGAGGGTGGGCAGAAACCTGAACGACACCGACCCACATCACCTATAACTTAGCTAGTTCTTGCTGTGACATCGATGCTTGAGTTCAAGAAGCTGAAGATGTGCCATTACAAGCTTTCTTTGGCTAAAAACTATGTCCTTCTAAACATGTTCAAGCATTTTTGGCACACCCCCCGCGTCCGAGCCTGATCCTACTGCAAGCGGGAAAACTGGGACCATAGCGGGAACCGCAGAAGCTGGGGCCCGTATTGTGGACATTTTCTGTAAAGAAGAAGTCTACATCTGAATCATCATCTTGTACTCCGCAAAACTTTAAGAGACAGCCCAGGAAAGAAAAACAACATTGATTTCAATGCGGAACTCGAAAACCCCACCACATACACCCTTCAACCCGTCCCAAGTGGTCCCAGCGCACGTTCGGAGGTCTTGGCTGCCGTGGCGTGGACACTGCACCACCTGCCATGCCACTTCTCTTGGCAGGGTTTGCAGGGCCTTCTTGGGTTGAACACGGCGCAGGAAAAGGGGTGTGAGTCGAAAAAAAGTGAGGCGAGGGACAAGCGGGGAGTTGGGATATGCTGGGAGCTTGGGGGGGGTTGGGGGAGTTGAGAAACAGCCGCGTGGACATGCTTGAACCACTCTTGACCACAAACGAAAAGAAGGTCAGGTTCTTGAATCTTGGGCCGCTCTTAAGGGGGCTGATGATTTCCCCACATTTCTAGCTCAAGGAATTCAGGAAGCGGGCCAGGCTGGCAGACGAATTCATCGTGGTCCAGGAAGCCCGGAAATGATGCACGGTCCACAAAGGCCTATAGTGGGGGTGCCCCATGCACATCAGAGCGGGGCAGAATACCGCTTGCGCATTTCAAGGCTTTGGAGTGTGCCGGGGTATTGCTTCGTCGGAACAGCCGCAGATTGTCGACACTACATCTGAGACAGCCCAAGTGTAAAAGTGCCAACGCAAATGCATGTGCATACTGCGCAGAATTTATGGGCGTGTTGAGCGTGTGCCTGGGGCGCACCCGACAACCGAACGAGCTCAAATGCCCAAAACCCAGTAAACCACATTCAACAACTGGTCCCGCCGAGAAGACATTGGGGTCGGGAAAACACCACATCCACCGCACCGGATTCAGCGCTGTGAAAAAAATCTGAGGCTTTGCCTTGCAAGTGGTTGGCATGTCGTTTAGGGTTCCCGGGCCTGGGTCTGCATGGTTATTTCAAGGCTTTGCTTGCTCTACTACTTTTTCTGCAATGCCGATCCAGCTGCACACTCGTATGCCTTGGGTTCCTGCCATCAAGGGTGTCTTTGGATGCTCTATACCTCCCGGAGACTTTGCTGCAAGCGGTTCAGGTGCTCAGCTCATTGATGAGTGATTTGGGCAATGAGACCTTGACACGAATCTTGAGAGACTTAGCATGGGAGTCCAATGAGCGATGACGGTCAGCTGCCACTCGTGTGCTTGACGCAGGAACTACAGAGCTCCCTTAGCTTATTGTAGTTGCTGTTGTTTTTCCGTGAGCAGCGCCGATCCTGCCTACAGGAGCAAGAGCACTTCCGGCCGGACTGAAGGCAAACTGCCTCGCGCCGTTGTCCATGAGACCCGTGTCCTACTCACCTAAACCTCTCCAATAGCTTAGACTTGTCGCAACCTGGAAACAAGCTACCCAGTAGCACAAAACCTGCTGAGAAATGTCCCTAGTTTACGGACGAGCGGAAGGAGCGCAGTCCCAGCAATACAGTCCCAAAACGAGTCGGCCTGCCAACTGCTCGATTTTCCCCCCTCCCAAGGCCAGCCCTAAGCCCAAACCAACCCTAAACCCTAAACCCTAAACCAGGAAAGGCCCTGAGGCTCCAGCTCTGGATTCTCCAGGGCCTGACAAAGCCGTTTTGGATTGAGGGTCAGGACAAGCCAGAGAGACTTCGGGTTCACAGCCCCAGGTCCAGTATTATTGTTATTGCTAAAATTCTGTTTATTGCCATTATCATGACTATTATGATTATGTTGGGATAAGGGAAGCCTCTGAGAAGGCTGAAGTGGAGAAGGGCACCATGCCTTTGTGTGCAGGATGTTCTGCATATGTAAGCATTGCTACAGCACAGGTGTGCAGGACGTTCAGCATATGTAAGCATTGCTTCGGCACAGGCGAGAGCAGAGCTCCGCATATGTAAGCATTGCGACTGGATTTTGGCTCAAGCATGAAAAAGTGCGTGCCTGGATTGGGGTGTGAGGGTTTTGGGGGGTGTTTCCCGGGTGGTTCCTCTAGCTTAGGCTGGTCTAGCCTCTTCCGGACCCCCCCTAGCCCGGTGGTCCCCGTCCAGGGTTTTTTCCGTCTTGAGGGTTTGGTTGAAGCTGGGGCTTTCTGGGTGTAGTCCTGGTTTCCCTTAGATCCCTCTTTTCGATGGCCGCTCCTGCGCCCTCCGCCCCTGGTCCTCACGAGGACCAAGGGGTTATGAGCCCAACTGGTGCTCGGCGTGCCATTGATTCGAGATTGGAAGGTGAGACTGCTGGTCCGCGCTACGATCGTCATCCTGCTGGAAATGCGATGCCCAATGGGGTACTTTCGGCTGATGTTGTAAGGCGTGAGGATATGGTGCAGGCCTCACCTGGTGCAGCGAGTTTGGAAAGCGCTCCATGGCCACCAGCTATGACTTCAAGGACAGAAGATGTGGGACCGCCTGGTACATTTTCCTGTGATTCCGGGCTTCGCCAAGAAACGTCTTCCGTGTCTGCTGGGAATGTGGGGCCAACGATTCCGCACTTGGTCGCGCGGGCGAGTACGGATAATCACCCGGGAGGCTCCCAGGGTGGGACTGCCTTGCCAGTCCCGTCCTGGATGAGTCGTCTCGGGGATTATCTTCGCCAAGCTTCCGGACAGGTTGAGACGCTGACAACGACGCTTACGAGGCAACGAGTGTTGGGTAGTAGTGGTGGTTTAGTGGTTCAACAACATGAGCAGTTGCAGCAGCAGCATACCACTTCGCACCCCTCCACACCGCAGCATGCAACATACCCGGCAGCAGCGGCAACTATGTCTGGTGGTTTTTCTCCGACAGGACAACAAAGTGGGGATCCTCCTCTGTTTCCCAGCAGTGCTCGTCGTATTATGGAAGGCTGGGCAAGACAGGCTCCTTTGCTGCATGGTCCGAGGAGTGTGGGAACAGACGATGCTTCATCGGCGTCCATTCCGGTGGAGTTGGTGCAGGAGGAGGTGAGAAGACAAGTGGAAGCGGCCTTGGCAGGACAGAAGGGAAGGCTTGAGCGCCTTCAAGAAGAAAATGAGCGATTGCGGGAGATGGTTTTTGGGGGTGGTGGCGATGTGAAAGGACAAGGCCGGGGTGGGGCTCTATGGAATGAGGCGCAGCGGCAGATGAGGGAGCAGTCTGAGCTTCCTGAGGATCGTGGTGTACCTCATGGAGATCGGGCCTACTCAGCATCGCAAGTGCTTCATGAGGATCGTGGTGTACCTCATGGAGATCGGGCCTACTCAGCATCGCAAGTGCTTCATGAGGATCGTGGTGTACCTCATGGAGATCGGGCCTCTTTCGCAACCAAGTGCTTCATGAGGATCGTGGCGTACCTCATGGAGATCGGGCCTCTTTCGCAACTCAAGTGCTTCATGAGGATCGTGGCGTACCTCATGGAGATCGGGCCTCTTTCGCAACTCAAGTG